ATGCCAGTGTCGATCCAGGATATTGATACGGCTCACCGAGTGCCGTCTATGAAGCCGTCAAATCGACCTAATGCAATCGTTTGTAAGTTTGTACGAAGGCTAGCTAAAGACCAAGTAATAGTGGCCAGGAAGAAAGTTGGTGGCCTCAAGGCCGAGGAACTTGGATATGCAGCTGATATCAATGTCAAGTATCTTAATATCTATGATCACTTAACGCCACGGTTACAAGCCTTATATCATGAAGCAAAGAAAGTCAAAGAGGCTAAGAAGTACAAATTTTGTTGGGCGAAAAATGGCCTTGTGTATCTTCGCAAGTCTGAAGAATCCACAATTTACAAATTCGCCGACCTTTCTGAGCTTAAGAAGAAATTTAGCACGGCCTCAGAAGCTGGAGTGAACGATCACCTACAGAGCTAAGTACTCAAGTACTTTTTATATCTATCATTACAAGTTATTAAGTTTGACTATTGAAATGCCTACGAGGACCAGTGCTAAGCAACAACAGAAGTTGAATAAATCCCTGTTAAAAGATTCACCGTACTTTAATTTCAGAGGTAACTTAGTCCTTGCCCGTGGCCAATTTAATAATTCACTTAACAGTGAGCTCCCGACTAAACGAGATCTAGATAAACTCCATAGTTTATATGATCTGGATTTATTTAATTTGAATATGGCCTTTGATACCAACCAAACTGATAACGATGCTATAATAAGCCAGTGCAATATAAGCCGATATTTTTCTCCACATAGTCTTAAGCAGTTTACTGATAATCTTACGCAGGATCAAACTGAATCTAGTCTCTCAATTTTTCACAATAATATTAGAAGCCTGAATCGTAAACTCGAAAATCTAGTGACTCATTATTTACAAGAATTAGGTATTCACTTCAATGTAATAGGTGTCACGGAAACTAAAATCACCAATTCTAATGAGAATACAGGCCTTTCAAACATACCCGGTTACGTTTTTGAACACGTTCCAACACCTCTAGCATGTGGTGGTGTAGGCCTCTTTGTCGATGAAACACTTAGTTATTCAATTTTAGAAAAAGAGTCCACCAAATCTTTCCAGGCATTCTGGAAATTTCTTTTGTTAAGAAGAAAAACGTAATCTGTGGAGTCTTATACCGTCAACATAATTCTCCAGAGAGCTTTCTTAAATACTTAGAAGAGACTATCGACAAATGTACTTCGACAGGGAAGAACTAATGTCGAACTAATGTAATTACAGTCGCGACTTCTTACTGGCTCTTCAAAGTTGTTATCTTCTTCCAACTATTGACAAACCAACACGTATACACAAAAATTCTGCAAGCTTAATCGATAACATTTTTGTGAACCATCCTGAGTAAGTGCTAATCAGCGGTAATCTCATTACTGATGTCAGCGGTCATTTTTCGCAGTTCTGTATTTTGACATCAACAAGAGATAAAATTAAACGGAAGCAAATTAAAAAACGCGATCTTTCGCATTTCAATCCCGATAGTCTTAACAGCGACCTTGCTACGATCGACTGGAGTTGCATCATTAAGAGTGTATCCATGAGAGAACCAGGCAGGGGGTGATAATGCTCAAATAACGGATTTCGCTCAAACTTGGCACAATTGATAGGTGTGGTGAGATATTAACCTCGACAAAAAGTAAGGTCGCGATATTGAATTCCCTGGGATTTACAGGGACCCCCTAAAGGCGACAAAATCTACTCATTTTTGCATAATTAATTAGCTAACTTTGGTTTGGCTGTTCAACAAGAAGAAAAGACAACTTCAAATCTAATCAACTTTATCATCTTCTATGTTTATCAGACTTAATGCTCAGTAATTTATTTTTACTCTCTAATTCCATCTCTTCCTATTATTTAGCCTAAAGTAAAGACATCTTCTCACCGTTTTGACCAAACCCTAAATTTAAGGTATTTTAGTGGCTAACATCTCCCATGAGCAACAACCTACGTACTTAATTCTCACATATTCTTTGAAAGACATCTTTAAGGTTATCAAATCAATCATAAAATATTTGGGCAATCTCATACTTTATCAATAATGACGTATTATGTACATCTGACTTGACTCTTATTTGTCATTTGACCAAAATACGAAGAAACGTAACATTCGTTTTTTCAAACAAAAAGAGCACAAAGTTGGCGAGAAGTCACAAATCAGATGCCTCATTATCGATACTAATAGCGGAATTGTTAGAAAGTGTCCTTTGAGGCATGTTTTCTGTGTTATTAACGGACGTTTAAATGGATATTTTATGGAACGCTTGAGTAAACACAAGGAGCAAAAGATTTAGTTCAAAACTTCGATCGGTCCAACTTGTAGGTGAAACAAGACCCAACAAGGATAAAAGATAGTGAATAAATGTTACATACACGTATCTCAGATGCTTTAGTTCAGATTTACTGCTCCAGTTTCGTCTGGTCCTCTGTGGCGTTTCTTTGTGACGAGGTAATGAAACCGAAACCTCTTGAAACACTGCAAAATTAAAAGTGTCGGCTTTTCACCGACCATTCGAAGTCTTTGAAATAAGTTGTAGTCAGAATGAACAAAATCATTCTCAAAGGACAAGAAAGATCACTGACAATCCGTCTATACCTACGGAAAACAACCACCTGCTCGAACACCCTCCATCTTTGACTTTGGACTCTGCCAAAACGATGGAGTCTGTGACGCCGGACTACCGGACTCCGGAACGTGGAATACGCTATCTATTGTTCGTACGCGCCAATATCCTGTTATAATTGGTGTGTTGAAAACAGGTTGTGAAAGTCGTGTAACTAGAAATTTTTAGTTTATTCGGTGTTGACATTAATTACCATGATAATAATCGTCCATAATAGCCCCTTTTGTAGTCAGACTGTGACGTGCAATTTTTAGACAATTAATGACTTGCCATTGGGTATACTGACTTACTTACTTGTATTTTAATCCTCGTAGTCTTACAACTATACAGGTTGGTATCTGTATCTGGGTATATTATTGACTACAAAAATATAGTAATAACCGTTTATAAAAGTGTTGAGGAAAAACTTCTGAGCAATACAAAAGACCCAAAAGGAGGCACTAATAAACTGCAAAAAAAGTCGACAAGACTTCTGTAGCTATTCAAGGAAGGTGTAAAAGAACAGTTTCGTGAACACAGACTAATATACTATATTCACTTCTCATTTAAGCTGTCATTTGCGGATTCATACAGTGGATTAAGTTCTCTTAACGAACACTCGTATATAGCGAATGGCTCTACTTACGACCGCCATCACAAAATCCCGTTTCAACTTCCACACAAACTCTGGATTTTTACATTCCCGTAGGCGGCCGAGGAGACTTAAAGGGTTTACCGGTGAATTAGATGTTAGTTTTGATTTAAAGCTCTCGTAAGCAGACACTCGAAAGAAAATCTTATTCGCCTCTGAATGTTGTTGTTGTTGTTTTTTTTCATATCATGTCCATAGTCATCGCTGTTTGTCACTGAATCATTCTTATATATCCGTTTCAGAGTTACCGTATGAGATTCATTCTTGTAAGCGGCCATATCCAGTTAAGGACACCTTTTCCTCGTCCCAAGGGTGTCCTCTTACGAGAGCTTCCACTGTATTACAATTTGGGAAGGGTGTTAAACATATGGAAGCGGTTGTTTGAGAAAAATATCTAACTGAATGTGAAAGTGTGGTGTATTTTGAATTCTACTTGGGAACATAACTGCCACAGTTAGGCTTTATAAGACCCCCAAACGTCAGAGGTAGATAAAAATTCAGTGGTTATGACAGTAAAATCTGATGCCAGCAGGGTAGGGCATTTGTACGCAATTTGGCCACTCCCCTGGGGAGAAGGGACTCCAGTATGAAAAAAAAAATGGTATTCTTGTCGCAAGCCAATCTGGACGTGTCGTGGACGCTTTATTTGTCTCTTTGAACTGGTCTACACCAAGATCCGGCTTCACTTCGCTGCTATTTCACGTGGGACTAAAATAGAAAAAATAGTTCTTTCCAAAACACGAAGACAAAGCGACTTCTATCTTCGACTTTGAGAAGACCTGAGATCATTTATAATCATGGTCTGAGTAAAGTTGCCAATAGATTTGGAATTCTAATACAATAACAATAAAATAATCTCAAAGAATGTCGGAAAGTCATATTTTCGACTGAATTTTGTTCACTGGACTCTCGCTCCTGGCTCCTGGCTCCTGACTCCCGATACAATGTTTCCGTATGGTGGCAACCGCTGCTAAAAAATGTGGGCTCCAGTTAAGATGGCGGATGTTTGTAACATGTGAATTGAGCTACAACAGTGGCAAAAATAATTCTTTCAATGGGTTAAAAATCGGCTTTCTACTTTTCGTATTGTTTTCTCCTAAAACAACTTGATTTGGATTTTGGTGCGTAAACTGATGGCTAAGGAATTTTAGTCGTACAGCGAGTCACGGCACTGAAGTACGCTTAACTGGACATCGAAGGTGGCATGGGGAACAAATCATAACGTGCACAAACTAGCAGTTGAGACATCTAAGAGATACGTATATGGATTTTATTGACCGTTTATATTGTTTTTAGGGTGAAATTGTTAAAGTAAGTAAAACTGTGAATTAAAACTGTGAATTTTACAGGGGGAGCCCGGATCTCCCTGGGAATTTAATATTTTGACCTGACATTCTATCACATAAGTTAACTCCTGATACCTAACATTTGTGCCGAGTTTGAGCGAAATCGGTGATTTGAGGATTATCACCCCCTGCCTGGTTCTGCCTGGTCTTCTCATGGACACACTCTTAAAACGTACGTAAATAATGTAGACGAACTATTTTCAACTTTCTATAGAAATTTAAATTCATAAATAAACATGCACCGATTAAAACCCTTTCTCAACGTAGGATTAAACAATTTTCCAAGCCTTGGATTACAAAAGGTATAAGAACGTCAATCAAAGAAAAAAACAGACTGTACCAAATTGGCGATCAGGAAAAAGTATAAATATTATCGAAATAAAATTTGCAGTCTTACACGTTTGAGTAAGAAACACTATTACTGAGCCTTTTTAAATAATAATTTAAATAATATGAGAAAAAAACATGGACAGGCATAAATGAATTATAAAAGACCCAGATAACAACAATAACCTTACTAATGATTTCTCCCGTATACTTAATATCTCAAATAAACATTTTTCAAATGTTGGCAACATCTTAGCAAGCAAATTACCACCGGAAGAGCGCCCCTTCGCAGAGTGCCTAAGAAAATCCAGTTGGCCAGAACATTCCTTTCTTTTCAGACCTGTAACTCCATCCGAAATTCAATTTCAAATTTTATCTATACCAAACAGCAAATCGCATGGCTTATACTCCTGTCCTACTCAACCTCTTAA